TCCAAACATTTTATATTACAGTTAATTTTCGTTTCATGAAATCGATTCGTTGCTGAAGACTGTTTATCAAAAGGTTTATAAACCGAAACAATTTTCCTCATAGAAAAATAGATACAAAGAATTAATTGGCTTCGGGACCACAGATGTTCGAATATTTAAACTTTACGAGAGAACTGTATGAATAAGTTCATTACTCCAAAACCAAAGGAAACCGCTGAATACAATATAAAGCAGCAAATACAAACAGAACATCAAGCATACAAATTAAACGAAAACAATTTAATTTTACTGTATTTTCTAGAAAGGAAGTGAACAGCATGAGTGGAAAATGACGAAGGTGATGCTATCGTTTGGATGAGGCATCCTCTTTTGTAAACGCATTAGGTAACTGTCTTGAGTGAACATCTTTTGCCTTTTGTATTCCTTTGAAATTTTGTTTGAGATTTAATAAGCTTCGTTTCACTCAAAATTTATCCAATGTAATTTGTTTTTGTTTAAGTTTTAAAATGTTTCTACAGTGACACATAACATTGTCAATGAAAATGCCACTTGCCATGGAGCTCGGTAAATGATCAGGGGGATATCGGTACAGAAAACTTGCATCTTTCCCAAATTTTGCACAAATTTCGTGCATTCCTTTTCCTTTGATGACATTTCTTTCTAAATCGTATTTTCTTGCTGCTTCTCAAGTTGCCGCAATACTTTCTAACTGGGCTCATTTTTATGATTCTTTAGTAATTTCTCTACATTTTTAGTGTAAACGTCATAGCTCATAGTTTTGCCTAGATGCATAATATCATAGATAACAAAAGACGTCCTACGGGTTAAGGACCTCAAAAATCTCTGACTGCCACAAAATCTAACCATAGTCCGAATTCATAGACCTGTAAGTATCTTGCTGTCAGGCATATCTGATGAGAATTAAGCAATGGAAAATTTTATAATGATGTTTCTCGAAGCCCCTGAGCGTGAATTATGTGGAATACGTTATTTTAAAACACCTTGAAAATTATACACCGTACAATAAAGAAAATTTTTTAATTAACTGAATTTAAATGAAACTGTTCGTTGCTCTTGATATCGCAATTGATTGACTTGTAAATACAGGTGTCTTTTAAATTTAATCATATCCAGTTAAGGCATGCTATGAGTCTGGTGTATTCATTTCTAAAAATAACTCATAAGGTACTGGAAAAATTAAAGCTCTTCTAAGGACGAATATGTATCAATCTGAGATCTTTGCAGCACCTAACAGAAACGTTCATTTTCGTGAACATATTTAGTGAGAATTATTATTTTATAAAGGCAATCCTCTTACATTCAGTGTTATTCCTCCTTACATTTAATGTTACCTCATATACAGTCCAACAGTTTCCTGTATCCATGTTTTCCACAACCACAAAACCATTCTCATGCAATTCCTAATCCTGCGGTTTGAATGTAGCATGTACTTTAGTGTTTCTTTCAAATGTTATTTTATTGTAAGGGTTTGCGTGCTAAGAAAGAATGATCGAGCAGTGACCTGTCTCAGGCGAATAACAGGGTTTAAAGCGTTTATTTCCCACCTGCCATATTGCAAGAAAATAATAAATTCAAGCAAAAGAAGTGTGTACTCCACCCTGTTAATACCGGGTACTGCAACATTCTCAGCTGGATCACGTACGAACACCTGCTTCAATCGTTTAAGCTTTAAAGATCAGCTAAAATTTATGAATTGTTTATTTTTTGCAATTCCGCATCAACGTTCCCGGGAGAGTTTGCGCAAAAATAACTCTTAAAGGACTATTGGAACTTTTACGTGCGAAAAAAATCTTAACACCGCTTGGTTGCACCTGTAATTTTTTCTGAGAAACGCGCCACGAAATACTGTTTCATAGGGAGCTGTCATTTTTGTTTACAGGAAAATGAAATACGACTTACTTCTTGATTTTCCTGAGAATGAAAACTTTCGAAGAGGATTAAAGAGAATAATTTTTGTTCGAAACTTTGACAATATCTTCTGAATTGTTCAGGCTCAACAGTTCCATACAGCATTATGCAATGGACATAAATTGGAAACATTCGTATCATTTGATATCATTAAGTTGTTCAGAAATGAATCCCATATTTTTTTTTTTTTTAATATTTAGTACTTTTTCCCCTCAATTTAGTCAGCACTACATAGAATACATAAATACGTAGAATTGAAAGTAATCTGCGAAACCTAATATAGTTTTACATTTTAAAAAATAGTCACCTTTCTTACTACATTAAAAACAACTTACCAACACGCATAACGCGGGAAAGTTACGTTAAAAAGTGAATATTTAGAAATTTGTGTTGCGTAGTGTTCAATATTGTAAAAGAAAGCCAAGTTCCACGTTCTTATAACTTTGAATGGGATTATAAATTTAATGCCCACATGCCTTTATGGTTTTATTTACTTACGTTCGAGGTATCCTAATTCTATATGTTACTATTAAATGCACACATAATTAATTTATATGTCTTTAATAAGTTCTTTATTAATTCTTTGACTAAATTTAATTTAGAAGCGAATGTACACTATTGCATGCATCCAAATATATTAGTCATCTAATAATGTTTTAATACCATACCAAAATCGAATTTCTATTTGCATCTTGTCCCTAATAACAATACCATCGAAAAGTACTTCAATGAAATCCACACCTCTGCACAGTTCACTGCTTTTGTGGAAAATTGCTCAAAATATAGTCTTTGTTTCAATTGTTACGGGACAAAATTTCAATTTACATATAATTTCAGTGGACATAAGTTGCATATTATAATAAAGCTAAGAATGTTTTTTGCATTCAGTATGAATCTTTTCTGTTCTGCGCGTTAACCAGGAGCTTCTGTAGTGTAGACCTCCAATATCCCACGTCGTGTTGACGTTACATTATGTTACTATACCACTGTTATAGCCTTAATCATTCAGGCGGCCTTGAAATCTATCAGTGTTAGGTTTTGCTACTAATGCGCATAGCGTCCCGCAGTGGCGGAGTAGTTAAGACAATACTAAATACTAAGCTAAATACTGGGAGTTCGACCCAGGCTCGATCCCAGGCGAACAGGCTTTCTGCGTGGTTAGCTTTCGTGCTTTTTCCCATGTAAAGTAAATGCGAGACAATTTCCCGTAGAAAATCAACAATGAAAGCATTGCTTCTTTTACACAGATAGCCATAGCATACTTTGCTATGCTTAAATATCATAACCTAACCTAATAATCTGCTTAATTGCTTTTTATATTGTAACAGTGCTTTACTTATTAATCCAACGAACTAAACATTACTTAATTTACATATGTTAACTTTCATAAGTTTTTCTAATAATTTTTATCATTATTTTATTTTATTTCTAGAATTATAGAAGTAAATGGCTTAGTGCATATAAATTAGCTTTTGAGGAACAAGAAAATTCTTAATAATTCTTAAAAATATCAGAGGAGTGTTAATAGTTTTACAATGCATCACGTAGTATGAAAATTTACACAATTAATGTAAAAGCTCTTTTATTGTCGCATGTGATTTACGCTTGCGACATAATAACCATTCGCTTAATATAAATATTTTGAGTACTACCATTTTAATGCAATCAAACGTACTTTTTGGGTTTTAATCTTAAAACAAACGGTTCTTTAGCATTCGCTCCAGAGATGTTCTAACATCGTTTACTTTGTATAGGGCGCGTTGCTTGAAAATAATGTTTTAAGGTAAATTTAATTTTCCTTTTAAAGCTATGCGAAATACATGAAGAAATTTTGAAAGTTCTTAGAACCTGAAATGTAACACCTCTGCAGTATTTTCTAAGTTGTTTAGTGAGATTAAAAAAAATAAATGCAGTTATTATTTATTATTTATAATTACTTCCTTTTCCTCCCTTACCAGTTATTACCTTTCAAATAATAGCTACACTTGAGTCAGCTAAATTTGTGAAAGATGCGTTAGTTCAGATCATAAGCAAAATTTGAAGTGAAAGAACTAATTGCTCAGTTTTTCATCGTATAAGACGAAGCTGTCACCAACTTTGTCAGATGGTCAGCAGCAGTTCAAGTCTTTGGCCGAAGTCCACATATTGTAAAGATAACCGTATAAGGAATTTCTCCCGCCTCCTTAGCATGCCTTCGTGGTGTAAAGGCCAGCACACTCGAAGCGTATTCGAGAGTTCCGAGGTTCGAGTCTCGGCGAGGGCATAGCTTATTTTTCGCGTCTCTCTGCATGAAAACTCCTAATGTCTCTACAACTGATATAGGCTAGTTGGAACGTATATTGAGATTGGCTCGACCCGTCAATTGTTTGGCCAATCCATGACAAAAATGAAATATTTTAAATAATCATTTCAGTTTGAAAAAATTTTAATCAGCTTAGATAGCGCAGAGCCGCTGCTGGAGAATTTGTGTTTGAATTTGATTGGAAGTCAAAGCGCTGCTAGTTAATTTGGAACAGTTATACATGCGTATCTATTGACATCATTAAATTCCAGAAATTCAGCACAATTATTAATACCAAAACAATGCTTAATTTAAGCATGTATTTATACTTAAACTTACTTATTTATTAAGCATAAACACATTTCTACATACATAAAAAGAAGATTCATATATTTTTCCTGTTAGTGTCGTGCTTCTAAAAACTACTTATTAATTACATTTAAGTTTCTTTGATGTTTATAACAGTAGCCATATGTTGTTTTATACCTATTGTTTCCTTTCCTTCTCTTAAAATAATAATTTTAAGTAGACAAGAGAGTAATGAGTCTTTTTCAAGTCGTAAGAGGCATATTTGGAAAAGACAAGAAATGAAGTTTAAAAATTTAAATTAATCAATGCTAATAGCCTCTTAATTATTTAAAAATTTTCTATCAATGAAAAAATGCTTTAAATTATCCTAATTTATGCCATGGCGAAAAATAAAAAAAAAATCTTTACCAGAGTAAAACAATTTATTTAATATGGAATGTTATTATTTAACATAATGCTTTGCGAAGGAGAATGGACTTACCACACCTCTACTCAGTTTTCTGAAACACAGCAGTTTTAAAATTGAGGTTATCTCCAGATGAAATCTCCGTCTTTTCAGACGTACGGGAAAAAAGTCAATTTCTGCTCGTCGTTATGGAAAGAAATGGTAATAAGGCACAGAGAAATAAATGGTTTCCAGTCATGTGAAGAGCACTCTTCAGTGTAGATGGTTATAGCTGCATCGATTATTCAAACGGAAGGTGAAATGTATCCTTTCATTTATCCTCACTTTCCCTTTAAAGCCGATGGTATCAGTTCCAATCCTGTTGCATATTTATTCAGTCCTTTCAAATCAGCGCAGTCTTGAAATATAAAAAAAGGAATAAAACTCTTCAAGGGAGCCACGATAAAAATTTCAAAAATGAGAGACTATGATCTAATTTTATGTAACTCTTGAACTATTTTCATGAGTGAGACTATTTTCAGTTAATTAATTAGACTGTATTTCTTGCTCCAGGTCCTTTTCCTGCATTTACAATTACGCACAGGGTGCGTTGTATCTCCAATATCCTTTAGAAAGCTTGCACACATTAATTTATATTTTGCTGGTTGTTTAACTGCAGATAACATATCGTCTTCATCCGGATCTTGCGGATTTTCCTCCATGGTTCATTTTAAACCTGTAATGAGATAGTTTTTCTTAATCGAGGCAGGGCAATTATATTTTAAAAATGAACTAACCTTATTTAATTAAATCAAGCAAAACAGGAAAGAAAATTATATTGTGCATTAACGTACTTGCAAATTTTTGGAATTGCGTAGAATGCTTCTAAAGTTTAAGTTAAACGCATTATATGAAAATGTACAGGAAAGCACATAATGTTTTCTTTATATGTATATTCTAAGTGAGTGATTGTGAACTATAACGTCGATGCCACAGATGTAGTTTGCATTCGTGTTTTGTCCAGGCGAATTAAAAATTGTTTCTACTGTTAGAGCCTAATACAAATATAACGCCTGTTTCGAAGCAAACAAACAATGAGAATTCAAATAAATTAAATTGTTTCCAAACCAACTGTCATTTAATTTTTTTCGTATATTTATTTCAGTATCTTAAGATAAATTTTCCACAGTTAAACCTAATATACCAATTCTATATTTTAAATACTCTGGAGGTTCCTTCTGAAAGAATGCATCGTAATATGCACAGGGATCAAATAATGTGTTTTAAATTTATTCTAATTTCAGCTAAATTAATTATACCAAAGTCTTATATATTTTAGTTTCTTCAGCCTTTCTGGTATAAACCTGAAAACGCTGAAATCTTTAAATGAAGTAAACCTGCATTTAATGTGGAAACGTTTCAGTCATGGGAGACTAGATAATATTTGGCGAGTTAGTTTGTTTGCTTGCAAAAATAATATTGTACTTTGTAAACCACTTCTTTCTTTTCAGCTTGCTTAGTGATTCTTAAATTACAGATTAGCTATATTATAAGATTATATTGCCATTTTTATATACTTTATTCCAAGAAATTTTATATCTCAGATGCGTTTGTTGTAATATATCTCATTTCTGCTAAATGTGTAAAATGAAAATTATTTTTTATCGTCAATAACTATCCTTCCATCTTCAGAAACTTTCTCATCAGATATCTACTTATTTCCTAAAAGAATTATCTCAACTGTGTCAGAGTGTAATGGAATTTTATTGTTTTTAAAAACTGCAATAAATTTGGGTGAATCAAAATATTTTCTTGCCGTCATTTGCATGGATTTACTGATTAAGCTTACAGTCATTTTCAGTAGTGTCAATTCGCTTGTTTGTTTGTTTGTTTATCAAAATTTGGATTACAGCCTCTTTTTATCTTCACAAAATATGATACTCTAGATTCCTATTTAAGGCTGATGTTCGTAGCTTTCATAAATGAAACACATATCAAATTAAAGGAAACAGAAACCATCCAGATGACGGTGCTGTCTCTTAGTAATATTGAGAAGAATGAAGAATAATTAATAAATGAGTGTACAATGTACAAGTACTTAAAAATTGCATTTTTCCCCGTGCAAATGATGTCTTGGGTGAGCAAAGAAAAGTCTTAAATAGATGATGAGTAAAATGTGAAAACTGACAACATTTCATTCACTTCATTACAAATGCGAGACTCCCCCCTAAACGAAAATAAGCAGCCTTTCCTCGGGCAGGAAAATGGGGACTAAAACATATATATATATATATAAGACTTCTGAAGGGGTGTGAACATTTCAAAAGGCCTGCTTGGTCACCAGATTTGAAGTTACTGAATCTTTTTTTCAGGATTACCCCAAGAGCATTATTTACGACATCAAAATTAACAACTTAATCACCTCAGCATGTACTTAATCGATGTTGAGGCTGGAAGTTAAAGTTAGTATGCATCGCGTAACGTAGAAAGAGACAGACAAATGTCTGGAATTTTGTCTCTGCTCCAGCGACGTTCACAATGAAATTCGCTTAACAGTAAAAACTGAAAAATTTTATATCGTTCTTTGATAATGACCTAAACCAAAAATGTCTAAACTAAACATACCTTCCGATGTAATTTCGTTACTTTAGACACATTTCTTCCTGATTATGGTTTGCATATTAATAGCTAAATATGATGTTTTATATATTATACTACAAAATGCTAGACATTATAAAATTTTATTTACCTAAAATTGCGTTAAAAGGATAACTGGAATGTACGGCAATTCTATTTTGTTTTATTATGTGTTGAAGAAAAGTGACTTTTAATTCACTTATTTAATTATAGCAATTATATCTCCTTTATGTGATTCCAGCTTAGAGATAAAAAAATAAAAGCAATAATTATGATGTTCAAAGGTAATATGATATAAAATATAAAACATTAATTTTTTGCAGTAAACTAGACAGTTAATAAATTTTAAAAATAATATCTTAGAAAAGTGTAATTTCGCAAATAAATCATTTATGTCTGGCTACAAGACAAACGTTCTGCAACCTCGAATATCTGGCATTCTAAACCAATTTTCGTGGTGGTGATAAAGTTATCTGAAAGATTAGGTTTCAAATAATATGATAGTTGTTTTAAATATAAGTAATTTATAAATGTATTTTAAATTATTAATCTGTACAATTTAACCAAAGATAATAAATTCCTCAATAATAGATGAATTTCAGATTGTAAGTTAGTGATTATGGAGAGAGATAAAGAGTATTTCAAATGGTTAATTTCTTGAAGTTCTCTGTATTGAAAAAATATTGATTTGGCTTTATCCAGAAAGTAGGAAACTGATGTACACTTCCATATCGCTTGATAAAATGCACATTACTAATTTGCCTTTAATTTGTAAAACAATTTTCTTCATCCCAAAATAAAATATTGTTATACCTCTGGTATCTTTAATATTTCGTTATGGAAATGTATGTATATTTGCATAAAGAACAAAGCTTATTTCATATTTGCTTCTAAAATCACATAACTTTCATTTGTCAAATATTGCAGAAATTTCTACTTAAGTTGAATTTTTTTAGCTTGATTTGATTTAATTTATAAACTATACGTATGTAAAAATGTCTTGCTTTAAATGCTAAAATGGCTTAAATTGCTTTATGCAAATCAAAAGTATAGTATTTTAATTCTTACCTTTAAATGTAGTACTTACCTTAAATCGTTTAATAGCCAGTTTATTGAACCGTCACACACAAAGTGTCTTTCTTAAATATTCATTTGAAATTCGTTTAAGTGAAGATAATTCTATCAAACACGATGCATAAAAACTTACTCAAATGCTTTTAAAATTAATGAAAAGTGAATTCAATGAAAAGTATTAACTCGAATTGAAAACTTATTAAAAGTACTCACCCTTAAGAGTCTTGAACCCAAAAAGCCTTCGATTCTTCTTCCGTTTGGCAAGCTGCATTGCTTTCATTGATGTAAACTCTTAGATAAATGAAATCTTTCCGATTACTCGAGAGAAAATTAACGCGCTAGGAGAACAAGAGTGCACTGAAGTAACAAATATTTAATTCTGTGTTTGATTGTACCTCCAATTATTAAGAAATTAACATTCACATTTTAAAATATACCACAAAGAAGTTTTGTGACATGATGCTAATTCCTTCAATAGAGAGTAAAATAATTTTTCTTTCCAAAATATAATTAAACGTATTATAAGAGAACGTCGTATTATCTGTAAAATTAACATATAATTATCTAATACAATTTTCCCTACAAACTACATATTCAACAAATTGTTTGTAAATTAATTTAATATAGTATTAGAAGAAAATCATTCATTGGATCTAAATTGACATTAATGTTTAAACATCTAATAAACATCCAATAAAAGATGTCTTTAGAATATTCTTTATTATTATTATTATTATGCTAAGTAGTCTTTCACGACACTGTGGTAATCAGCATATATCACAGTTTGTTTTTGTTTTGTATGAGATTAGTTTTATCTGAAAACTGTAGTTCAAGATTGAAATTAAAACGATAACTTTACGCTTATATAAATGGTTGAAAGAGAAATAGGTATATAAAGCCATCACAAAACAGATGAACAAAATTCGGTAAATCGGAGTAAATTTTCTTAAAGTTTTAAATAATTCATTCGGAACTGTAAACGCAACTTTATTTTGCTTCGAGAAAATACTAAGCGGCTCTTGAATTTTTCATAAAATATAGTAATTTTTCTTTGAGACCATAAGATTCCTTACTTTAATAAAACTCTGTGTACTTTTAAAATATTAAAACAAAGTAACAAAAGCATGTACACAATATACCTAAAGTATAAAAATTGATCATAGTAAAAGAATACTCAAGCAACATAAAAAGTGAAGCTTTTGCTACATAAAATTTGCTCCATTCAGTAAATACAAATTTAATCTAAATTTGGGTAGTTGAAGGAGAAAAGCTAAAATACAGATTAGTTAAAAAGAAGAAAAGATAATAATGGCAAGAAAGTGAGAATTTGTGTTTTTATATTCCGTATTATGCACTCTTAAACTGGGAAGCTGTTTTACACTATTTTTATAGAAATAGGAGCATTGTGTGAGACGTAAATAATCTCTCTTCTATTTTAAACTACTTATAAAGAGCTGAGGGGCATAACGTTCACGCACCCGTTTAAATCAGATGATTAAATAGTGCAATGTAAGAACTTCACTTCCGAGAAATTTAAGCATATTTTTTTAGGCAAATATGTCAGAAATGTCCTGTTTCCGAATCGTTCGAATGAGAGAATGAGGTGAATTTGTTTGTCGCTCAGAAAATAAGTTTCTGAGTGCTGAAAACAAAATGATTTATACAAAATTTTCCAGAAAATTAATGTTTAAAAAATACAGTAAAGAGCAAGTATCATTGCTTTAGTCTTTACCATCGTTCTTGTCGTTCTTGTTTCTAATGCCCGTGCACTTACAACTTAAGTTATTCTTCCGAGAGAGCTAATAACCAACAGTCATTTAGCCATCTGATCACCGAGCACGTTGCTCAGGGGAACTTTGCAAGAGAGAGTGACTGATTTTATATCCTCGGAGCGGAGAACTCCCCCACCCACCAATTTTAATAGAGACTGGGGATGAATCCGAAGGTCTCTTACCGCTTTTACCCTACCTCTAAAAACAAGGTACCAATCATACCAATCATAAATCAAGTTTCTAATTCATATGC